CCCGAGATTTTGTAGAAATTGTTAAAATTAAAAAATTATTTTTTGTGCCCAAAGTCATCACATTATTAGGCTATTCAATAAAACAAACCGCTTTTGAAAATATTAAGCCATTCCGGAGAAATTTAAATTATAGCTAGAAATAACAATATTGTATTACCTAATATGTAATTCATAAAATATTCATAAAGTGCATACCCTGGTCATTCAAATTGTATCTAACTTGTAATTTATATTCAGTGAATTTGGTGTTCCCGGTATACCATGTTATGATATCTCAAAGACAACTATATAATATAGATACAGGATAATATATGGCTATTTATATCTAGTCTAAACACTACATTTATATCAATTTAGTTTCTTTAAGTTTAAAATTAAATTTATAAAATTATGTTTGAAAGACAATTTTAATTGTTGTGATTGTATTGATGTAATCGGTGGTCATGTACTCAATCGCTGTGAATATATTAAAAAACAATTCAATGGAAGTAATTAATTAATTGAATGTTTAGTAGAAAACCTCGTGAAATGAATGCGCATATTTTACATTATACAGTCCTTCTCTAATGCTTTTCACTTTCGGTCAAAACCTTTTCACTCGAGTCTCCTTTCGGTCAAAAGGTTTTCACAAACAGTCAAAACATTTTCACTTCTCTTTGGAGGGCAACACTTTGTAGACTAAATGAGAAGTGATTTTAGTTTTTAACTATTATTTTATTAATTTTTAAGTTGATTTATTAATTATGTATTGTTTTTCATCAAAATATGTGTCATTTGATGTGTGGTTTAGAATTTTAGATTTTATGTATTAATTTTTACTATACTGTATTTTGTTTTCAAAACAATAAGATAACATTCAATTATGTAAATAATTATTATATTAAAGCTTAATCACAATTAGAGATAATTTACATGGATACTCACTATTGTATTAAATAACTTAAGCATTAGTGTTGCTCTCCATAGAAAAGTGAAAATGTTTTGACTGTTTGTGAAAAGGGTTTGACCGAAAGGACAGGTTTGTGAAAACCTTTTGACCGAAAGGAGACTCGAGTGAAAAGGTTTTGACCGAAAGTGAAAAGTATTAGAGAAGGACTGTAATATTATATTACCGTCCAGTACATTTCGAAATACAGGTATATAAGGTCGGTTGCAAAAAAAATGCGAAAAACAAAATTTTTTTCAAAATAATTTTTATAAAAATCCTAAACAAAAACTGTAACAAATTATACATCATTTTAAAGCTTAGATTATATACTCTCACATAGTATATGAAAACTGAGGGAAAAAATTATTTATATTAAGTTTATGTCAACGAATGTGTGTTTACAATGTTTTCATCGGTTGACAGCAAGACCAATGTTCAGATCTTATATGAATGGGGTGTTAATGTCCCAAAAAAGTTGACAAAATTGTCAGAACTATGTTTATCTCAAGTTTGCCGCATAATCAAACGGATCAAATCAGGTGATGGTGNATGGGGTGTTAATGTCCCAAAAAAGTTGACAAAATTGTCAGAACTATGTTTATCTCAAGTTTGCCGCATAATCAAACGGATCAAATCAGGTGATGGTGTCTCCCGGCGCCCGGGAAGTGGTAAACCATCAGAATTTAATAAAAGTGATCAGAAATCAGATCTCAAATCTTATACATAATTACCCGAAATACTTGTTGGTCAGAATCGGTGAAATGATTGGTCAAAGAGGTGCCCGTAGGGGACATCGGTTGACCATTTTAAGACACTTAAAACATTCCGGATTTTCAGATTTCTGGACTTATTTTTTGGATTCAATGCCGCGGAGTATTGATAAATTGTTTCCGGCCAATGGATGCCAAATTTAGTACAAACTATTATGTTGATTAAATCTATAATAAATACTCTACTTATTGTCAAAATTTCATTTAAATTGAATTAATAGTTTGCTTTTAAACAGCATTTTGTTTTTCGCATTTTTTTGCAACCGACCTTATATAGTAATGTTAAATTATTAATTTTCATTAAAAACTGTAATGTTAATATCATTGCAAAATTATAAGCACTTCAAGTAATTATGCTTTAATTTTTGTGTAAGATCTCATCAATTTGAAATATTTTTAATTTTTATTAAATTAAATAGTTAAGCACGCAATAATTTTTAAAATTAATTTAACTTGTATTTAACAATAAGGTCTTGATAATTAATAAATAATTATTCTTTTATATATTCAGAAAGCTATGAGAAAGTGGTACCACTTATACCAGTGATAGAGTCGCCAACTGTCCCGAAATTACCGGATACTCGAGTTCTACCAAACGTATTGTTCGTTGGCATCGATTCGGTGTCGAGACTGCAGTTCGACCGACACTTTCCCATCACTGCCCGCAATGTAATCAGTGGACAGGGATTTAACACAATGTATGGCTATAACAAAGTGGCCGACAATACCTTCCCAAACCTCACACCACTTCTCACCGGACATTATGTAGAGGACCTCTGGAATGAGACTATGGATGAGCCGTTTGACTACTTTCCCTTCATTTGGAAAGTATGTTTTGATAACTAATTGTAAATAATTATTTAAAATTTTTTCAAATTTAATTATAGGAATACCAACGGAAAGGTTACCGAACCCTATATATGGAAGACGCGCCGAATATGAATACATATAATTATGGGCGACGAGGGTTTGTCGACCCGCCCACTGACTACTACCTCAGACCATATTACCTGGCTATGGATGACATGACTGATGAATATTGTTATTTAGATAAACCGGAAGTCGTGGTAAATTTTGAAACTTTAATAAATAATTTAGTTTTAGTTTTAGATAAATTAAATAACGATGAAATAATTAGCTATTTAAAATTAGTTTACAAATAATACTTTTAACCTAGAAGTCTAAATAAAATTAAAATCATTATTTCTAAATTGGTATTTAAAAGCAATATAAAAGTTTACTGATAAATTTGTGGGAAATAATAGGAAATTAATATTTTTTATTTAATTTTAATATGAATTTTATGACAAAAATTTTATCTATTTTCAGGAATATTACGAGTATTTGTTGGACTTTATCCGTGCAATGAATGCCAGAAAACAGAAGTACTTTGCGTTTCATTTCATGGCTCGACTCACACACGATATCCTAAATAACGCCGGATTTTATGATCCAATTTATATTACGAGTATTTGTTGGACTTTATCCGTGCAATGAATGCCAGAAAACAGAAGTACTTTGCGTTTCATTTCATGGCTCGACTCACACACGATATCCTAAATAACGCCGGATTTTATGATCCAATTATTAATACATTGTTTTCACAACTATTTCGCGAAAATCTGTTAACAAATACAGTAATCGTGTTCTTCTCGGACCACGGGTTGAGGTTCGGAGACATACGACAGACACTGTCGGGAAAGTATGAGGAAAGGCTGCCTTTTATGCACATATATGTCCCCCAGAGATACCGTTCCCGCAATCTGACGGTCAATGA